CTCTTAAATTAATCTCGAGCTGTAAGTAATTAAATAATAAACTATTATTTTGTCATAATTATATTAGTGAGTGAAATAGTGAGGTCTTTAAAGTGAGTAGTAAAAATTGTCTTAAATAAAGCCTATAAAATGCCCGAAACGTATTTGAAACGCATTGGCACAATGGCAACGTATGAATCAAACGTATGAATCAAAATCTGTCCTGTTTTTTCATCATTTTTGAAATTTTCAGCCTATTTTTGGCGTATTGTAATCGTATGGCGTTACGCATCTTATTATTCTAGTGTCTTTGGTAAAACCCTGGCTGCGGTCGTAAATTAATTGCCACTAATTAAATGTTGTCTGCATGTTGTTCTGCTTTTATTTGAAAGGAAACTAAATCCATATTTATGGAAGACGGCAACTGCAAAAACGGAAAGAAGGCGCCCATGCAAATGAGCAGTCTTCTTTAATTTAATGAAGGTGACCTCCAACCTGAGCTTTACTTGCGTTGGGTTCCACGCTGTGTCTCGTTGCCTCGTCGACCTCTTGTGGTATATCTGTACAGTGCGAAAAACTAGACCACAAACAATAAAAACGTTAAATAATCTAGCCATTTGATAATGCCAAACATTTCTAAGAGTTGTGTACGAGTATACCCAATGAAAAGTGTAGATAGACTTGCTTTCTAGAGCCTTGCCCTAGTGCCACAGAATCATTCGATTACCTATTGGCTTATATTTCCACGTACTTTGTTGGCTATCTTGTACCAGTGGCCAGCTTTAACTGACTCCTGGCTGCCGGTCAATCTGATCCGGGTCGTGTCTCATTCTCAGAGTGCAGCTGGCAATTAAATTTGTGGCAGCAGCATCATTTCTGCTCGCCTGGGGCCCTGCTGAGTGAATTTATTGCCGGCACGGACCACGCAAAATGGCAGCAAACATCCCACGGGCCAAGTTAGATGAGCAATCGAGCAGACTAAGCCGTTGTGGCACAAAGGCACGCACTGGAGAAAAACTGCAACGGGGTGGGGCGGGTCCGGCTGCGGCCGACGTGGAACTCACCTGATCAGGTGCTTTGTAGGCTCGGCCTGGCTAGCGGAAACCATAAAAGCACCGTGTGTGTGCGGCTGTTGTCCGTGCCAGACAAAATGGTGTCAAATGGCAAAAATGCATCGTAAACAAAAAGTAAATGGAAGAACTTTTCAAACAAGCCGAGGGCTGCGGCAGAAGTAACAGCCCGGAACAGCAACAAAGGAAGTTTTTGGCAAACTGCAGTTTTAAGATAACAATTTGCATAGCTGCAATATTTTTTAAGTGTCTTGAATCCTAAAGTTGCAATTGCGACAACATTTTTAAAATACTATTACAATTGGGCAATCCTTTTATAAAAATAGTAATGGAAATAAATTTGTAATTATTTAATTTTAGCGCCAGTTAAAAACATGTGAAAATAATATGATTTTTAATAATTTAAAATTGTAGTATACCGCACAAACTTTCCAATCCTACCTTTCGAAACGCACAGGACCAAGACATTTTCTAGCTCCCCAGAAATGCGGTTGGCACTTCAAAGGACTATACCAATACACAGGCAAACATATGAGACCGCAAAACAAGGATCTCCGAGGCGATAACTATGCTTCGAGGTGTCATTTTGCTTGTTGTGCCCGCATAAAACTTGAAAGGTCCCTTCGGGTAGATTAAACACGCACACGAACGTCCCACTCACACATTTCTGCGGTCAGAGACTTGAGTGTGTGCGGGTGTGTAGCTAGTGTGTGGTGCAACTGACGCCTGCAAGTATGCTACGAAAAATACTGAAACCCAGCCACCCCCCATGAGCCATAAATTTATATCCAGAATGTGCATCGGATACAGGAAAATCTATACAAGAAATATGTCTGCAACGTGGACATTTATTTATGGGATAGTTAGAACGCCACAAATTGGGCACCGCGCCATGCGCCCAGTATTCATGCCAAATAAGTGGCAATTAACTCGTGGAAAATTCATTAAAAATCACTTGGTGCCAGCGCTCTGACCTGACCCCTTTAAGCCGTACACTCTTCACCGTTTACAATTTTAATTAAAAGTAATCCAACCAGCAGGAGGATTCTGCAGCCCGCCCATCTGTCAGCTGTGGGATAGTTGGGATGTCAGCAGGCTTATCGGGATTTCAACATCACTGCACAGGGCGACCCAGTGCCTCGTAGCTGAGGGATTGCCGCCTATCTCGCCAGAATGATTAAAATTTAAGCAGTATGATTTCCCCAAACTACACACATTCGCCTAGCTGGCCCCAAAAGACGCACAACGCTCAAAATTCATGTGACATTAAAGTTTAACACACTATCGAAAATAAGCGTATACACGCTATTTAAATATTTATGCTAGAGTGCGGTTGCATTTGGCGACCGCAATCAATTGGACCACCACGGGCATAAATCAGTTGGAGAAATAGAAGTTTTTTTGCAGGAACCGCCTCCCTTGACATGATAAATTGTTGCAGCTGCCCAGGAAATACACTGAAAGTTGGTGGGGTCGTAAATAAGTGTGCAGGTGCGAGGCTGCCACGTGGCACGAGCCTCCCCGCACTTTTGGCAGTGCGAACGAAGGCTGCGCTCCTGACATCAACTGCCAATTCATATGACAAACGAGCCCGAGTTTTACCCCAATGAAATGAGCTCTTGCTGCTAAATTATGCAAAAGGTGCGTGCCATCGAGGTATGACGCTGCAGAAGGCGTGGCACTCGATCCAGTCCGCCCAAGTGGGCCCATTGATTGGCAAGAAATGATTCGCCACAGCTCCTTATAATTGGTGCAACGCGTTGGCTGATGTTGGAGTGTGTCTAGACTGAAGGGGTTTTCCCGCAATGGGTTAAATACCTCTGGGGTCATTGTTTGGATTATGTGTGTATCCTTGAGGGAGAGTGGAAGCTATTGCAGCTTAGTTTATTAAGTGCTTTAGTGTGATTGGTATAATGTCACAGGTTAGATTTATTAGGCCCATTAAAAACAGAGAGATAATTATCAGTTATTCACAGGAAAGGCGAAGAAAATTTAAAGATTGGGTAAGCTAAAAAAATCATTAAAACCTTGATAACCATTTGTGTCAAGACTATATAAAGTCAAAGGGTAAAACTATTGCCGATTTATTTATAATGAAGTAAGCGACCGATCCGATTAGGTGTTTAAACATTAAAATTAAACCAAGGAAATGGGTGCTGCAAATAATTAATATAATGTTTACTGTCTTCTGACATTGCGTGCCAGCCGGCAATTATTTCATTGCACAAAAGTGGAGCAGGAAACGACGTCGAGACAACGAAAGTTAAGCTCAGGTAGACACACGAAAATTGTTCGGGGCAGGAGGAGAGTTCCAAGCCGGCCATAATTAAAGCGAGTGACGTGCCCGCTCCACGAGAATGTCCTGGAAAAGCTGTCTGTCCTTTCGGCCAGGACAATCGCTGCAGCTGTCTTAGCCAGTTTGTGCTTGGAAGAGTTTAACCCAATTTACAGCTTACATGCAACGACTTCTGCTCGAAATGTCCAAGTCTCTGGGTTTAGATCGATACGCGCTGTCGTGGCCATAAAATAAGTCGCAAAATAACACAAGCACAAGCCGTAACTGCCGAAGTGGCAGCAAGAGTAACTGTTGCAGTAGAAAACAGGCCATTAATATGGATTTTTCTCTGGCCATTGTCGCAATTATCAAATGGCTGCAGTTGTAATGGAGAAAGTGGGTGGACGTACTGCCGCATTGAAATGCGGCAAGCCGCAATTTGGCCGAGAGCCCGGAATGAAACTGTTTGACTAACCAGCCAATTGGCCAAAAGCCCTGGGCCCAATAGTCTGGCCCTGGCAAATGAAAATATTTACATGTGGCCATATGTAGCAGTGGTTGGCTTTTTGTCGGTCTCATTGTGGTATTTGTCATGCGTTCTGCTGTAATTATTATCCATGCTAAAATGCCCATTGTGCAGTTCAGCAGGCAGACCTATGTTAACGGAATTCACATATACTCCTAAATGTAGTTGTCAGAGCTATGATTTTACGATATTTTAATTACTAAGGCTTATATTCCACTAATAAAATATTGAATTTTCCTTTCACATAAAAGAAAACATTTAAAATAAGAACTGTGCTGGAGTAGGCCAGTGAACCCATATTTTATTGACCTTCTTTCGGCTTGTTTCGGTGACCTAACTATTGAAAAATGAATAAACAATTTCATCTTCATATTCGTTCTTGGTCAAAAGAACATGATTATCAGGTGGATAATCACTTAAAATGTCGTTTGTGTGCATACAGCTGCGGCTAAAAAAATAGCACGACTGCAGGTGGAAAGTTTATTTATTATTTATTTATTTATTTATTTATTTTATTTTATTATTTATTATTTATTATTTATTTATTTTATTATTTATTTATAGTTCTTAAGATATAATCCATTTGTTGAATTCTTTTTTTTATTTTTTTGCTTAGTTTTAGCAAACTACGAAAAAAAGTGCTATTTTTGTTATCGCCTAAATTTGAAGGTTTTCTTTTTGTTTTGCCAATTATTTTTAAAATATCCATTAGATCTGTTACTAATTTTGTTATTTCGATTGAAAATCATTGTAGAATTTAAGTTTAGTGAGTAAAATGATGAAAAAGTGTCAGAAAATACAGAAACGCTGGGACAAACACGAAATGTGCTTATGGTGCTATTAATATCTCCGCAACTGTATGTTCTAATTCGAAATCATTGGTATATAAAAGGGATGGTTAAGGGAGGTGATTTAAAATGGTTAGGCCTTTATTGTTAAGATGCTAAGAGGCAGAGAGAGAGAGAGAGAGAAAGAGAGAGACAGATAGAGCTTAGTCTTACATCATTTTTGCCTGATATCCTTTGAGTAACTTGGGAATGAAGTAGTTTTAAGTCTTTCATTTATAACCGAACCATACCATCCCTCTTGAAATATTACTGCATTGCTTTCTGACTCAACGCACTGTTATCTCTCATCCTTCCCCCAGCAGCTCCACTCGGAGTATCGGAGCACTTATCGCTGGCATGAATTTACGGGCAACTCGCGGCCAGAGGTTGTGCGACGGGCGCCTGCCCCAAACCCAAGTCAATTCGTTGGTGAGTTGCGAAGACATTTGTCTTGCGCCCATTGTCACGGACTATTTATTGATCCCGCTCTGATTCGACTTTCGATTGGATTTTGGATTCGCATCTGCAGGAGCGACAAATGAGCCGCCATTGCCGCGCCGGAAAAAATGCCCAGAATTAGCATATAAATCGCACGAGTTTATTATAGGATCGGAGTATACAGATGGACGCCGGGATGCCAGTGCACATCGTTTGGCGAGAGTAAGTGTCCTTTCCCCAGTTCCCATTTTCCCCCCACCATTTTCGACAGCTGCAGCGAATATTAAATATCTAAAATGGAGTGACAATTTGTTACTACTACCTTATATCTTTCGTAGGAATAGGGAAATTAAATGTCATTTCAGCGAAACGCTTTTGAAAGAACATCAAAAAATGAGAACATTAAAAATGTATAATATTGGATTTACAAAAATTTGAAGGAATTAATTTTTTGAAGTAATATTCAAACATTGGGCATCTAATTTAAAAGTACAACCAACTAACCATAGTCCCAAGCTTAAAGTCCTCCTTTAATCCACTTTAATCCAAGCTCCCATTTCTGCGTATAAAAAGTTGAGAAGATGTCCGCTTATAAATATGCAAGATTATTGTGCATATCCACGTCTCCATGAACGAGCTAAAATGCAAATCCTAGCTGGCTTTCCACATGTTGTAGTAGTAGTATATTCAGTTTATGGCCACAGAACCTTTATGCGCTTTTGACATTTGAAGAGGACCGTGAGAGGAAAATGAAATGCGCTGCGGTTTTCCGGAAAGTATAAAACTTTCTTATTTGTATACCCTAAGTTCTATTTAGTCGTCGAGGAACAGAGGAAATAGTTAGTCCTCCTTGTACTGCTTTTAGAATCGCGCCAGAAGTTGAGCATTTCATTGTACACCTGGCAGGTAGATGGCGTAAATTATTTGTTTTAATTAGGCTTAAAGGTGGTAACGTTTTCAATGGAGGTATATTTTCATATGCGATATTTATGGGCTTCCGAAAGGCAACGCCATTACGGGAGGCTTGGCATTAGGGTTAATGCGTTTAAGCCACGGCCCTCATAAAAAGTCGACGCTCGCAAATGCCACAGGATATACACAAAAGCCGTTCAGAAAAGCTTCATGTGAGCTTGGTCCTTTCCTAGTTCATTTTTGGCCCCTCCTCTCCAACGGTAGGCTAATTAATAATGAGGCACACAGTGGCACATGTTGCAAGGACATTGAGATACGTGTGCGACAATCAGTGGCGTACGCAGTTGGAGGGATTTGAGGGAGTTTGTGCCCTTGGGCACCTATTTTGCTTTCTAAAACTTAACTATTTGTGCTTTAAAATGTTCAAAAGCGATCGTTTAAAGTGTAGTGATGGTTAGTTCTCACTTTTAAAACCGAATGCATAAATGTTGAAACTCTCAAAAAGTTAATTAATCAAGAGTGTATAAAATTATATGAACTTTATTAACCATTGATAGTAAGATACCGCATTAAAATACCCCTCCCCATAATTCTTCTTCCGCCACTGACCTAAATACTTGTTTGTGCGTCAGAATACGGGGGAAAGTGTGCTTTTGACATACTATCATGGGCACCCTGACAATACATAATTAATTGACTTCACCTCATGACGCACGTCAACAGGGCGTATGCGTATTATTTACGACCAGCTAATTAACCAGACATGCCCGTACATCTTTAACGCCCCTAATCCCTCTCTGTCTCCCTGCAGTCGGAGGAGCGCGGTGGCACACCTTCGCGCCGCAGCAAATCGGAGGGACCACCCGTTGTGCCCAATGGACGTGCCTATCCCATTGCCACGGAGATCGACGGAACCACAAGAAAACAGGTACACAATTGTCAGATGGATAGCACTGCACGCAGCCAGAGCTCTCGGGTGTCTAATTCAATAGTTGTCTATGGCCAACCAAATAAGCCAAATACTCGTGTGTGCATTCAAATTCGGGAGCTTGGGTGTCTGTGTGTATCTGTGTTTGCAAGTTCAAGCCCCAGCATGCCTGTATTAGTTGAATCATTTCTGCAAGGCCAACAGTATTGGATGAGCTCATTGGGGTCGAACACTCGTATCCAGAAATAGCTTTCCACCAGCGCAAGGAATGTGCAGTCTTACCATGGGGATTATATTTATATTTATGGGATTTAAATTTAAAATGACTATACTTTTGTAACTCAAAATTATCTTTTATCGAATAATTCTAAAAACTGCGCGTTTTTGAAGATTTCAACGAGGGAAAGTTAATGGATCCTTTGCTTTACATTTTGAAACTAACTTACATTGAATTGAAGTCAAGTTAAATGTCTTTATTTTATATATTTTGATTTCAAGCGTAATATTTGAAACTTACCAGCTAAAGGGACGTGCTCATAAATTAGAAAGCTAACGAATGCAAAGTGAAGGCCTATACTTCAGCCCGATTGAATGTTCGTGGCGCCACATAAAGTAGGAAAAACTAGTAGAGAGAGGACCTGTCCCAGTTTTCCGATCGGAGATAGAACGCGCCTTGGACCATTGGGCCGGAACTTGATGGCGAGCAACAGTTTCTATTAGCGGCGATGCTGTCTATCAGCCAGCCCCCGAAATCCCCTCCCCATCGCACTGTCTGCAACTTTTCCAGTCCCTTTATTGGCAATTTTCCCCGTGCAGGACATGCTGTTGAACATTTGTAGCTCGTCGCGCCGCTTGCGGCTGTGGGAAAATTTCATTTACTCACACGAGCATGATTGCATGTGTCTGCATTTTCAGTGGGTGAGCCCGAGTTGCATTGAGTTGTCAGACAGAATGTCAGTTTGTCGGGCGGCTGCTCGACCTGAATGTACCATTTTAATCTGCAAAACCCTTCAACATTTGCATAAGTTGTACATCGATTTTTTCGCGCATTCGAGCTCTTGTAATATCCTGATACTTTCCACACTTTTTTCATACTTTTCCGTTCTGATTGCGGCCTTTGTGTTGTGCTTGGAAATGCATGTAACAAGGTAGTTTTATCTCCCTGTACTATCCCTTGTGGGTGAATAAAATGCGAACTTGAGTGTTTGTTGGATTACATTTGATTTTATATTTGTTGAGAAGGGAGTTTTCTTCGTTCTGAAGCTCCGCTGCATACATTTAAGAAAAGGCATTATGACATATATTTAACCCCATTTGTTTAGCTATTGTCACATTATTTATTAATGGATATATCTGTTATTGGTAAAACATAGTTGGGGCACACCCAAGTTGACTGAAACCAAGAAGCTGGGGGTATTTTGAGTTATTAAACTAAGTTTGTCCCACAAATATTATGTAGTGTTGTTACATACCATAAAAAGTTAATCTTTTATAAAAAAATATTAGTAGTATTTTCGAATATCTTTTTAATTATGGCAGCTTGAACCCTTTAATAATTTCCAGTATTAGTCACTTTAAATGTATTTGAGGTGTATTTGGGGCTGTAACCTACCATTATAACGCAATTAGTAATAGATGTTCAAAATTTTCAATTTATACTTGTATTGTGTGTATTTCTTCTCTTTCTCCTTCTCGTTCTCGTTCTCTGTTTCTCCACCTATGACTAACCGGTCTCTTCTTCTCTATGTTAACTGTGCTCTGATCGTCCCCATAAAATCCCCAACAAATATGAAAACCAACCTTAATTAATAATTGAACATTCAACTTATCCTTACACTCAATGCGACACTGCAATGCTTTCTTTTCTCGTTCTCGTTCCCGTTCTCTTTTCTCTTTTATCCATTCTCGTTCTCGTTCTCTTTTTGCCTTTAAACGTAAACCCGAAAACCCTTTTTCGTTGTGTCATTCTGCTCTTCTCTTCTCTTTCGCAGGCGGGTGAGTCAAATGGGCTATTGAAAAAGACCATCAATAAGTTGAGCACTGAGTACCGCCTGCAATTCGTCTGGCCCACAGTCCGACGCATAAAGGGCGGCGGCGATGCGGCGTCTAGGGCCGCTGCCGGCGACTATCCGAGAAAGTCCATATCGCTGGGCGCCCTTCGGTCCGGCGGCCAAGGTCACAGTCACACCCAAAACCAGAATCAGAGTCAGAGTCTGACCCAAGCCCAGAATGGTCACACACATCACACGATGATGGGTGGCGGTGCGGGCTTGCCGACGGTGCATAAAAAACGAACAACAAATCAGAAAGAAGGTGCGACAACAAATTGTCGTCGCTAAGCATTTATTTATCATACTAAACAAAACCGAAAACAAAAAAAAGTACAATAAATTATATATGTGAAACAGACGAAACATTTCCTACTAGCGCATAGTTTCTTTCAACTAATATATGTAATACTAAAACTAATTTTTAACAATCCAAAAGCGCGTGCGTACTAAATGAGTTGACATTTGATTTTTAATTAAACGTTTCTTTACTTAATCAACCTAACAAACTAATTCACGGCAGATTGCGTAATATTTTGTTTACTAACCTCCGTAACCGTTGAGATTTGTTTATTTTTCAAGATTTTTAAATGAAAATTTGTGCCGTGGCAGCAGCATTGAGCCAAAAAAAGAAAAAAACCAAAAAAGAAAAGCCCAATAGAAAAGTGTTGAATAGTGTTGGTAAATGAACGTAGTCTAAACGATTTTTCTGCTCTCACCGCCGCCATATTAAAATGCAAACTTGTCACCAAGAAATCAATCGAATTCGAAATCAAGTTTTTATGTACACGTCGCCGTAACTTTCGCTTACTAATCGTACTCGTACCTATAAATATGTATACTACAGTGCTCAAAACTAAGATAGATATTTTCTAGAATAATTACCTTGAACATTTCCGTATGATTTCCCCTTTCTTTCTGTACGTACAAGCAAATGTTTCTTTAAACGCTTTTGTAACTAAAGTTGTTTTATTTCAAGCAGTTAGCAAACTTTTACTGTCTTAAATCTATTTCATATAGAACGAAATTATGCTAAATTCCTTTCCAAAAAAAATACTAAACCCGACACTAAAAGATTAACACAATCAAGACTATCTTTTTAGCCCAAAGCTGACGTAAGTGTTGAACTAAATTTAATGTTTACTAGTGCTAAACCAATTCAATTTCCATTACTGCCGAACGTAAAATTGCGTTGATCAATCGAAAATTGAAATTGAATGCGATTATTCTCGGGTCGTGCCCATTCTCATCCAACACGCAGTGTCAATGCAACTTTACGTGACGGACTGATGAATGGATGAATTGATGAATTGAAAATAGCCAAGTGTAGTTTGAGCATGTTGTGGCCGCGGGTTGTGTGACATATTCCGTTTTCATTTCGATGGAAGCGTAGGAGTTATTGCATAAGTCGCCTTAGTTTCGTTGCATGTGTGAAACGATAACCAATCGAAATTACTATAGTGTCATGCATCAAACCAGACAACCATTAATCAATCAGTCAACACGGCATCAGCATCAAGTCGCTATCAATCGTATATACCTTTCTTACTCACGTACAACATATCATCGGCTAGACGAATTGGCAAGCTTAGTGTGGGTTAGCATAGGCTGTGGGCAGTAAATACCACTTTTGAATACAACTTTTCCAAATACTAACAAAATTTACAGTTCAAGCAAAGCGCATAGGTAAGGCAACCGGAAACGGAAGTGAAACGGAAAAGCGGCCATCAAATAGAATAAAATTAAACACTTATACTTATACGCTAAATCGTTAAGTGCATCTGCATCTCAGTGGCAATTAGTGGCTTCAATTGCAAAATGCTTTTGTCTTGCCTTTAACCCTTGTGCGACGCCTTGAGCTTCCAGCGATAGTGTACAAAATTGGACGTAGTGCTTACAAAAATGCTACAAATATCTAACAACTAAGAAATATGAATTACCCAACGCTGCATTCAACTCGAATTGTAAACACATATTTTACATAAGAAAGAATATTACAATTGGTTTGAATTTCGTTCTATATTCCAAATAAAAGCTACCCAAAATTGTTCAAACATATCCCCAGAAACTACCAGGAAACCATGCCAAACACGCTTCAACCAAACATTCAACATTATAGATTTTCGGTTCTGAACTCAATGCCAAAAACACAAATTGATTTTCATTTGAAGTTTACATTTAGCATTTCTCTTAGCTGAGTAAGCTAACCACCCACTAAGTAACCACCCAATCACAACCACACCCTCAAAACCACCCACTAAAGCGCTGCTTCCGGCTCATTTATTTGCTGTACAATAATATGAAGTCACCTTCTCCTTAACCCTGAGTTGAAGTTTAGCGTATTCGAGACACCTTGCAAAAGAAAACCTAACCTTTGTTTCCACCTTTTTGCCTTTAGTTTCCTACTGCATTTTCTACAATTAATTATACTTTCCTTAACTAATCTTAATGTACCCACTGATGCCAGACATCAGCCAGAATCTGTATAAAGCTTTCGATCGACTTGGATTGCAGCATTAAATTTCGTGTCTGTGTGCTTTCAGCTACTCTACATGAGTTGGAGCCCTTGGTTAGCGATACGGATGATAGAAAAACGCACGAGAAGTATGAACATTTAATTAACCTAGCCCTCAAACCGACTCGCTCATAGCTTCTGCCATTCTCATTCAGTGATGTCCTTCATTAGCCCACCCGAAAGAGCAGTATCACCCAAAATAAAATAATAGCTTTCAGAACCCACATTCATCCGCACCTGCATGTTGCAAGTGTTGCATGTTGCAGCCATCGAGAAGCACAGCAGTTCCCTTTTGAAGCTCAGAATCTCTCAGAAGCCAGCACTACCTACCCTAGCTAATGACTGCCTCGATTCTTGCAGACAAGTGACCATTGTGGAGCGCAAGATCACCTCGCGTCCCTTCTCGCAGGCCATCGACCAGGAGCGTCTGAACCATTTCATCACGAAAAAGGAGAACTTTGGCTTCGCCGATGCCGCCGTGGCCGCCGCGGCCCTCAAGGACGAGGTGGACAACAGGCAGCAGGTGGGCGAATCCGGCCAGGTGGTGGTCATGAACGGCTCCGCCCCGCCGCACTCGAAACCGAATTTGGATTTGTGGTTCAAGGAGATGGTGGAGCTGCGCAAAAAGGCCGGCGAATACAAGGTGCGACCGAATTCTCTATCTGTTTCATCCTCAAAGGAGGTGATCAATGTGCCTCCTTAAATTACCCACTAATTTCTGTCATCTCCCAACTATCGTTAACCATAGCTTAACTAACCGAACTCTTTTCTTCTTCAATTCCAGTGTCGCGGTTGGGGCATAGAAATTGACCCGGAATTGTATAAGAAACAGAAGGATCTATGGGATCAGGTTTCAAAGCGCAGCTCACTTTCGGCACTTTCCCTAGCTTCGTCTGTTCATAGGTAATTATAATTAAAAAAAAACTGTAACCAATTTTATTAAACATTACAAATCATATCATTAAAATGGGTAAAGCTGTTTGCTATCATAAATCAAGCGAAAAATAATAAAATAAATCATAATCAAGCGATTTTTTTTGCAATCCTGTTAGACCCATTACAAAGGAGGAGAAGGAACAGGAGAACAATAAGAAGTCCACGCCATTGCAGAAGGCCCAGAAGCCCCGTGTTCCTGGTCAAGCCTTTTTGATTGATAATAAGGATGAGATTTCAGCACTGCCAGCACGCTTTAGCAATATACGCCATCACCTTGAACGCACCACAGGACCGGGTAAGTACCTGAGATATATGAAAGGATTAGTCCAGGCTAACTCTTCTGTGGCTCCGACTTTCAGATGTGGAAGAGGGCGCTTTGTTGCCCTCGCCTACGCGGGAGAAGCTGATGCCAGCTATTACCAAGCGGGAATCGGAGTCCCAACGAGGAAGTCCTAAGAAGACCGCCTTGTCCAGGCACGGATCGCCCCAGAAGGGCAGTCCACAAAAGGGCAGCCCCAAGAAGGTCCTTAAATGTGAGTAGTTCCCCGCTTTTTCCACACCCTTGAGCAGAGGATACAATGAGAGAATGCATACGCATATCCGATTTCAATTCCAAAGTTAACCATATCCGAATAGCAAATTTACTCTTATGCAACAATGACACAAGTACACAAAATGCACTTACCAATAGAGTTACGAGTTCGGGAACAGAACAGAACATTGTACACGCTCCAACAATAAGTATACGCCCCGTTACCAATACCTTGATTTGGTTTCCTATGATTTTCGTTTTGCCATAGTTTGCTCAACTGCTTCAACCGTTTGATTTGCATTTTTCCCCGACAGTCGAAGGAGTCGACTCGATTTTCATCCTTGTCAAGTGCACCGAAGGCTTCTTGGGACATGAGATTTGTGCACAATTCTAATGTAGTTTCTAGTTACATTTGCCAGTTTTTATCGAGGGTTTGTGTTCTGAAATCGGTTGAACGGTGTTTTTCATGTTCTACGTTTAAGTTATTATTTGTAGAGAACCCTTTTCAAGACACTTGAGAACATATGAGTCAATCTCCTAAAACCACAACTACTTACATTAATTTATTGAGCTGGACAATGATTAGGATAATCCTTCATAATCAATCATTCATATTGCGTATATATAAATCATTTCGGTGTATTGGGGTCATGAATGTTTTAGTGTGCTAGGTTGTAAGTAAGTTCGAAAATGGCTGTATATTACTTTGCGTAAAGCTAAGCTTTAAAGAAATTTATTTCGCTTTTATTTTTTATGTACACACAGTAACTTCGATCATCTTGATTGAAAAAAAAGTGTCTTTTACGGTTTCTAGTTAATATTCGGATTTTGTTAGGAATTCGCCAGCTTAGTCTTAGCCGCAAAAGGTGGCATAGAATCGGGGGAGTGCTATAAGATAAAGCTTTAAGAAGCTTTAGCGATTACTGGGTATGTTATATAATCCATCCAAGCGAGGCTAAAATGAGAAGCTCAATTCGTAGCTCATAGCCATGAAAACTTGTACAATAATTCACTTGAAACACCCACACAAAAATCACTAGTAGAAAGGCTCTGTCACCCCGCCCAACATATGGAATATGAAATTCTCTAGCCAAATGCGAATTTAAATTAAAACATACAAATCGTACTTTTGTCATCAACCAAACCGCCACCACCACCAACCAACCATACAACAAAATCGCAAAAAAATAACGAAACAAACGAAATGCAAATATCAAAAACCGATACCGATACCGAAACCGAAACCGAACCATCCTCCATCCGTATCCGTGTCCATATGCGTGCGCAGCCCGGTCCCAATCGGCGGGTCCGGGCGTTGCTGAGAATGAGTCACCGAAGCGGCAGATCCGGTCGGCGAGTCAGGCGCCCAGCAGCCGTAAAAAGACGCCGACAACCGGAAGCGGAAGCGAACGCAAGGCACGCCCATGTAAGTAGCCATTTTGGAGGAGGCAAAAGAAAATCCCCCGCCGAACACCCAGAACTCGACTTGAACGATGCGATGCGTTCATTGCCTTATTTATTTAGTCCTAGTTTGCATATGTCATGTGTTAACAAGATTGCGTTCCGATTTTTTGATTTTTCGTTGCCTTAACTTTGTTTCTTTTGCCGGATTCGTTCCTAGTTAAGTTAGTTAAGTTAGATTATCTATCTCACCTCCAGTTTGTACGTTCTTCCATACCCAAAGCGTATTTCGATCGACCATTTAGTTGAGTGTCTAATGAAACTAGTAATTCATAGTTGAAACAACTTTCATTTTGGGTTTACAGTATTTGTTAGTTTGGTCTCTGGTCATGCAGTTCGATTTTCAGTTCTTTATTCTCATTCCTTTCCCACTTTAGTTTCGATCACTGTTCTCTCTGTAATGCAGCGTTTGATTGGTCTTCCGAATACATAACAATCTATAGTTTAGCATGTTGAGATTCCGTTACTAACAAGATCTACTAACAAATTAACAAACCAACTAAAACAATAAACCAACTAAACTTATCTGTAAGTAAGTAAAAGTAAAAGTAATACTAACAATCCAGTTCAGTGTTGTGCCTAACCGTTCGAGTTTTAATTTGTATTCCATTATACTCCTACTAACCATAAGTGTAACTTTGTTGGCTTACAACCCGAATATCTGTAAAATATACATTTATAATATAATCTTTGTGGGGCAGGGCCAACCAACTACCTGTTAAATATACTGAATTCCTCCTGTTGCCAAATTTAAGGGTCATAAAGCCAACATTGTGTTCTCCTTTCAATAGCCGCGAATTGAAAATACCGATAGTTTGATATAAGTAGACTAACAAATTTGAATTGTTAACACAACTAACCGAAAGAAAACTGGAACGCCACTAATTGCATTTTACGTTTGGTTCTTTAAGCTCCTTATTTGGTTCGAACTTTTTGTTTAGGACATTTTAAGCTTTTGCTTTGATTGCATTCTCGACTCGTCCGTCACCAACCAAATAAAACATTTTTAATGAAAATACATTTAATAATTTTTTTCACCTGCGTTTTGTTTTCGGCAAAAAAAAAAATGTTAAAAAAACCTTGACAAACAACAACAAAAATCATCGTAAAACAAACAAAACCGAAAACCGTTTACGTTCTTATAGCCACCCTATCCACAACATTCCAATCCCGCATTAAAAGTAGTTCCTTGCCACCGCCCAACGGTAGAGTAGGCTCAGCGCCGCCAGCCGCAGCAGCATCAGCATCTGCATCAGCATCAGCAGCCAAATCAGCATTAAACGCTAATCAGGCTCATGCTAATCAATCACAATCATCACATGCCAAGAGCGGTAGCATCAGCGGCAGAATTTCAAAACCATCGGCCACATCCGCCCAACAGCAGCAACAGCAACAGCAACAGCAACGGCAACAGCAACAGCAACAGCAAATGCGTAAGAAAGACAAAGATAGATCGAATAGTAGTTGCATTGGCAGTGGTAGTCATGTTGGTGCTGGTAGCGGTAGTCAAGCAAATAGTGTCAAGCATCTGCAGAATAAGCAAAAGCAACAACAACTACAGCAGCAACAGCAACAGCAGCAACAAAAGCAACAACAGCAACCGCCACAGCAACAGCAAAAGCAGCAGCAACTCGATGTTGCAGCAGCAACAGCAGCAGCAACATCGGCAGCTCCCCAAAACCCAACCCGGCCTGCCACCATCAACATCAAACGGCTCACGGTACCAGGTCAGGATAGAAAATTGGCTGAAAGTGAGTAAAGTTTCACCGAAAACTTGAACAAATCAAAACCAAACTCTTCAATAAACCCAAGCTAAACCAAAATTAAAACCCATTTAAAAGTAAAATACACGGAAAATGCTGTAAAATGACATCTGATGCGCGAAATGTTTGTGTTGCAACTTTTGTAAAACCCTAAACTATTAAAAACGAACTCTTGTGACGCTATTAATAATTGAGCATTTTACACCTTGGTCAAATCTGTTCGTCCACAATTAGTGAAAAGTGATTAAGCTTATGATTTACCAATTGGCCTCATCGATTAGATAAACGTGTGTGGTTTTTGTTTGGGCCAAGCCATGTGGAATTGTGTACCTGTATTGATAGATTGGTAGTAGAAACTGTACAAAATTGTAGTTTGATTATACTCATTCCACTGGCTGCCTGTGCAAAATGAAATTTCTGAATATCAGAGTCACCGTGAAAGTACGAAAGTACGAAAGTCAAACGAAATTCCAAATTCTTAATTGCTGGAAATTGTGGCTGCACCCAAAGAGCAAAATGCGTTATTAAATGTTATTCAATGTTAGTTGTTGTTGTAGTCAGTGTATGTATTTGTTGTATCAGCCGTGCGTCTATAAAATTGTATCTGTATAAGCAATTGAAATTAAATGCCCATGAATGTGCGTCTCATGATTTGTAGATTTTCGTTGTTAAATCACACCTCAGAATTTCAAATATACCTTTGTTTGTTTGTGTACATATGCAAAGTCTGTAGCATTTCTATCCCATCCCATTTTAGATTATATGTGTATACCTAATTTTTAATTAAACAACATAATCTACAAGAAGACACCTAAGCACATACACTAATAACAATAAAGTACAGGTGCTGGGCCCAGTTAGTACACCAAGATAGCTATTTTGATGTTCGAAATAGAGGTTCGGGATAGAACAACAGTCTTAGAAGAATGTAAATCATGTCTACTAACTACAGTGCACTTTTAAATCAGCGTAGGAACATGTACTTCGCAATTCCTAACTACTTTTCACATACAAATTTTACCAGCTCTAAAAATACATCATTAGTGTTTGATTGTATCTAACCGAACTCAAAGTGCCAGGGATCAACTGATTAATCTTTTAAAGCTGCTGTCGACGCCTTCGTTGTTGCCTACCCAAAAACACTCACCAATAAAGTATGCCCAGCAAATGCCACACCTGGATTTGTACAGCTTTACCAATTTTATGAAACATAAAAATATATTAGTTTTATTACCCTCTTCGGATTGTCATGTTGCGTGTCTGTGTATTGTGTATTTGTGGCATGCTGTTTCTCATGTTGTGCGCTTTATTAAATACAAAACAAAAAAAAAATTGAAATAAAAATATTCCTTTGGTTCTACTAACAATATGTTGCCTTTTAAGCTTCTGGCTTAATATTCTTCGGTTGACTAAGTTTCCTTCAGTTTTCGGTTCCTAAGTTGAAAATATTTATTTCGATTTTCTGTTACAAATACTAACCAGTAAAACTCAAACACAAAATTTGCTTAACGAACAAAGGACTTATCCAAAAAATATATTTGAAGATCAACAGCTGCGGCAGCATAATGAAATAACAGAAACATAAAATGCGCTTATAATTAAGTTAATTCCATAACGCATAGCCCCCGAAACTGATCAGAACTACCATTTATAATTGTCTTTGGATGTTTTCCCAACCAACAGACGAGGGCGAGGATGGTCGTGAGACTGCCATTTCCATTTCCAGCTGCAGTCCCCAGCCCCCGGTGCCGGAGGTGCCCGAGGAGCCCCTGGTGAAGTCCCCACCAGAACCGACCCGGGTCAAGTCCCCGGAGCAGATCATAATGCGCTCCCCCGATCCAGTCAACTGGACGGTGCCGCTGGATACTGGCAAAACCTTTACGGTGACGCAGAATGTCAAAGATGGTAACGTTGACCCAAGGTGGTACACCACTCTGTGGAGCAGAAGATCGGAGCATAAAAGATAATAATTTGAGCCTGAGTCTGATTTCTGCCCACAAAGTGCATTGCTGCCCTGGCAAATTTGTGCTGCACCTAACTGAAAACTTGCATTTCCGTAGGGGAGAACTACAGCCGACCTCAGAGCGAGATTAAAGCCTCGACACCGGTGGAGAAGCCCCCACCGCCACCACAATCGGCTCCGCCACAACTAACCGAACAGGCTAAGATGGACGGTAAGCCATTAAGCACGCTTCAATAAAAACGCAAAACTTCCATACCAAAGCATCAGCAAAACCAAACGAAGTCGACAAACAAAACCAATCCAGAAAAACCAAAAAAGTCAAATCGCTTTTACAAATATTTATATATTAACTCGTATTTAAATATATGTATCTGTATATGTATATGTATGTATCGCTACTCACAAACGTCATCAAAAACCCAAAATCGAATCATCGTTAGCCAATCTCCAACTTCTCCAACTCCAACTCCAACTCCAAATCCAAAAACAAAAAACCACACCAGCAAATTAAGCAAATCTCGATAAGCGTAAATATAAAGCAAAGTTCCCCTCTTTCTGTATCAAGCCAAAAGCAATTGTGCAAGCCAATGCAATCACATAGCGTACCCGAAACCGTAGATCCTTGCGTAACATAACGAACACTATTTCCAAAACTATCTCCCCCTCCCCCCACCCTCTCGACCACTGCCATCCCGCCAGCCTGGAAGTCCTGCAGTCCAACCACCAGTGCCGCGGTCTACGGCAAAACGCTGACGCCCCATGCCACACCCACCGGCCAGCCGGGCGGGGCGGTGCGCTGCACTGTCGCCCAGGATCAGCCGCCTCAGCAGCCGGATCCTGCGATGTCGTCATCCTCGTCGACGGGCACAGCCTCCACCGCCCGGACTACTGCCGCCGAGGTCCTGGAGAAGGCTCGCGACCGATTCGATCGATTCTGGGGCAGCAGCAGCGCCAGCAAGGAGGAGAGCGTCTAGATCCGAGAACCGAGATCCTTGATCCTGGATCCTAGACCGGCACTCAGTGCTCTTCAAGTGCAAAATGTATTCCCCGGGCAGTTAATTGGCCCTGTAAGCAAGCAATTATAATACGTAATAGACGTTATGCAATACCTAATCATGTACACCATCTATCCTATCTAACAGCCTGATTACACTGCGACACAGTTCTCCATTCACATTAATTTACTGTACCTGTCAGTAAATCAAATAAGGTTGCCCTCAATGTCTGAAGTCCATTATTATATTTTAATAATGCATATTTTCAATTCAATGTTACATCAAAAATCAATTTAAATTAGTAATATCTTTGTTGGACTCGATAAAGTACCTTACTATGTATTTATATTTATGTGTGTTATATCATACAGTTGAAATGAACATCCGAAAATCAATACTGTTATAATTTATTAGAAAAACGTAATAGAAATTTTGAATAATTTTTATTAGTTTATTTTATATTACATTGTAACTGTGGATAAATGTGTCGCAGTGAAATCAAAGCATTTAGGGAGTCCCGCAACGACTTGGCTTGAATTTGAAGCTAAATTCGCTTTTGGTTTCCTAGTTAAACTGCTGCAAGCAAATCTAATCTGGCCAAAAGTCATCTAACGACACGAGCATTACACAAAAATTAATTTATGTAAGACACTTTCACTGCCTCAACCCAAACCGAATACGAAACCGAACTCAAACCAATGTTGTATACTTTGAAATTCACCCAGAGAACTTTGCAATATTTCGATATCATCCAATCATACAAAAAATATTCAAATGGGACAAACATCACCGCAAAGACCCGTCCAAGAAGTGAGTCCATTCGATTCGACAAGAGATATACTCACATTTTTGTAGCTTTCATTAGATGAGCAACCGTATATTTGGGTAATGCATAAGGTGATCTAAGCTAAACTGCTGATCCGTCAGATACCAAAAGTTGAAAATAGATTTTGCACATGAACTACAAAGGGAATATACCAAAAAAGACAACATGATGTTAAGAATAATTTAAGACACACTTTGGCTAATAAAAACTTAAGGCAAGAGATGGTTAAAACATAGCGACACCCTACAGAAAACACCAGCAAAACATACTAATACTACACAAAAAATGCGAAACAATGAGATTATGCTTTGAAAAGCTGTGAAACTAGTTTCAGACATGCCTACAATTCTTATATAACTATTATGTGAATGTGAAAATAGTCGACAAACAAAATGAAAACACGTTGATCAAACAAAATGGAAAGACCTAATCGATTTAATCATGTTTTGAGTAAAATTAGCGCTTAATAATTAAGACAAATGCTTCCCGGTGGGCAATAGCTTTGAGAAAGTTGATGTTACTTTAACAAACATTTTGTTGGACTTGGTTTTTCGAATCTCTCTCAGTGTAGACAATGTTTCAGTACAAACCAAATACCGATTCAAACTCAGTTTGGCAGAAACTTTTCTTTTGCGTATGAGAAATGCTTGAATTTAAACCTTTCCTAGGAATAAACAAAATAATAATACAAAATCGTGTAAGCTGAAGTTGAATTCCATTACCCATAAGTTATGTGATTAACTTCAGTATTGAGCTTACTTGTTGCTTGCCTATATATATTTTAATATAAAACTCAAATAAACCAAACAAAAAAATGAAGAAGGAAAGTAACGCCACTTTAATGGTATTTATTAAACAGTTGAGTATTTTTATATGTTTTTCATGAATGGACCCGTTTGTTAGTTGAAATCGATGAGTTGATCACTGAATCTTATAGTTACCAAATAGTCACAATGCATATTGTCAAGACCCCTAAAACGCAAAATGTTTATTACGCTCAGTCTTAAAATGGTCACCGATTCGATCAATCAAATGTATTAGTTAGAAATAAAAAAGAAGCTAAACTAACTAAACTCTGGCAATCTCAAAAACCCTAAAAGAATCTTAAAAACCTTAATGAAAAGAAACAGGAAATGCACACTCACATACACAAACAGAATTAATTTCCAGTTGCAATTAAAGAAAAACGGTAACCCAACTGAATGGTAGACTCTTGAACTCATTTAGTTTTAAATATCGTACTTAACAAATTTTAGGCAACTTTAATACGAATCTACTTAAGAACGAACTTGATATTAATTCTAGCTTGTTTACAAAAGGATATAAAATGATTAACGAGACAGAAAACAAAAACCTAAACAAAGTATACCCTCAAAACGATTCCAAAATAGGCGCACTAAACGGTTTTCCTTCAACAGCAGTGAAAAAGAAAATCGATTTTTATAAACACTTATACGAAAGTCAAACAAATAAATATTTTCAATTTTCGGTTATTTCACAAAGCAAAATATTAAAAATCACCAAACAATTATATAAATTTTAAAAATTGACTTTCACGCCCAAAAGCGCCTAAAGTTTTAATGAATTAAAAAAGCCTCAAACGAAATGCAATAATACCAGTACTTATACAACCCAATTGATAATTTTTTCTGAATTGTCATAAAAAGGCACACCAAATAGCCTTCATAGAGATGCTAATAACACGATATAATTATAACTATACTTGAGAAAAGCCGAATCATATGATAGAGGAGTAATGGAAATAATAAAATAGAATCCGAAAAACAAGTGATGGTAAAATGATTATAACATTAAATGAATCGAATAAATGAAAAATGCATATAAACGTTTTAAAATCTTTGTTTTAATATGGAAATGGGCTTCTTTCAAGTTTGTATTTACCTCCTTCCATTTAAATAAATAAAACGCATTGGCATTGCTTTTGTTTTGTTTTTTATTGCTATTATAAAGTTTTTCTTCAAGAAAATGTTTTCTATTATAATTTATGTATTATGTTTAATAGGAAATATAGTTTGCTTCATGGTTTGCTTTTACTTAACGGTATTATCGATTTTATGGTTTTATCTGGGTATTTCGCACAGACAGTTTTTACATTTGTTTTTATTTTTAGGATTTGGGAAGAAGGTAGTTGAAATTACATAGTTAGGATACATTGTAAAACATTTATTGCTGGTAAATTACATTTTTTCTGATTGTAGACGAACTAGTTATTAGACTTTACAGTTGATTTATCATTGCACTTCACGAATTGCATTCATTATTATTTTTCTGATCTTCGTAGTTTTTATTACAGGAATATAGAAAGCTGTTATCACAGTTTTTTGAAATAATAACAAAAGTTTAATGTGGGGTAATGGATAGAGTTGATGTAGAAACCGAAGAAAATATAACATTAGCGTGGGAATGAGAGTGTCCGATCACGGTTTAACATTTGTTACTTAAATTATAAATTTGTTAATTGTCTTAGGATTTTTTTTAAATTTTGCTTTTAATTTCGTTAAAGTTTGCTCAAAAATACATGTGTCGAAAAATTTTCGAAAAAATGTGTCTTCAAATTTTAACATTGTTTTTATCTTTTTTTATTATGCAAAAGTTTTCCAATTATCGATTTCCTTATCTTGTATATTAAATCTAGAGTACATAAGCGTAAATAGCTTATCGAATATGTGTCAAAATACTTAGAAATCATAGGATTGCTACTGGTGCTGTTTGAAAACAAGTTCGTGATAGGATCACAACAAATCAATCGAGTTGGTCTGGGCTCATTATACTTATATATCAAAAAATATAATTTATAGACGTGGCTCAAGTGATTTGTTCTAGATTGAACTCAGCTACTGCTGTGCCATTTCAAAAACTCACTCAACTGGAGGCAACTTGAGCAAACATTTGAAGATGGGCCAGAATGTAAGGGTCATTTCAAATCAGTGGACTGACTGCTAAGCCTACTCATATGCAGCTATATTTATATGTTCGTATTTAGACAGGGAGATAGAGGGTAACTTAATTGATCAAATCGAAAGTTGACATATATAAAAAATTTAGCACAATTTCGTTCCTAACTCTTAAACGTTTTGATAAAAGTGGTTGGTTTTTACGTGGATTCGCTTAAATGTAAACAATTAAAAGGAGTACCAAAAAGGTTCCGAACACCAGAGTTCCGTGTTCCAATGCTAGCTAAGATTTACCATATGCTTGTATATAGTACCAAATAAATTTGTTGGGGCCCAGCACCCGGCACCAGGACCCCAAGGTCCTAACCTAAACTTATCTTGAAAATCCTCACGGACTTAACAACTAAATTCATTTAAATAAACAAGTTAGAGTTGCTTTTGGTTACCACAAAAATGACACGTTTAACAGACTTTTCTTTGCTGCAATGACGAGAGTTGGCCTCGTATTTGCATTAACATAATGTTAGAATCATTGCGATTTAACAATAGTGGGGGAAACATTTAAATATAGTTTCGAATATCCCTTTGTAGGTATATGTATAAGTATAATTTATATAACCTTTATATTGGTTTGGGTCTGCACTTTTATTGTTTCATTTTTGTAAAATATAAATTGCTTTTAAATTTAGAATCGATTTAATGTTTTCGCACTGGGTAATTCCGTTAGTTGCAGTTTGGAATAGATCTCAAATGGGTTCTCAAAATTGTTAATATAAGCGTAAGTTGAAGGTTTATCACTTAAAATCTAACTGCAGTTACCGTTTATCTTCTCGTATGTGCCACTACGTTTAAATTCGTTTTAACTGCTAGTGTTCTTAAATTTGACATACGTATTTGAAAAACATAAATCAATTTTAGGTGCTTTTCGTTTTGTCTCGAGTTAAAGTGGCTGGGAGCCTTAAAAAATTTACATATCTATGCCAATCCAAAGTGGTATATCGAGATAAATTATTCGAGAGAAAATCAGCTAAGCCTAAATATGTAAGAGTATCGATAGTTTTATCGTCGATTTACCGAATGATTTTACTTTAAGTTTGCTGTATCCATTCCCCTACCATTCGACATTTTAGCTAGGCTAGCCTATAGATTAGTGATTGTTGTATGCATTTTGTCTCATAATAACATAACTTTTCCTGTGATCGCGTACAACTTATTACATTACCCCTTCAACTCTAAGAGCGCGATTCGAAGACTGGTTTGTTTGTACTAGCCGTTACGTAGTCCCAAGGGAAGCCTAGTTCTCGCTGAGATCCTTTATTGCCTGCAGTATACGCTTGACATGTCCCACCTTAACCACGCCGAGATCCTTGAGATCACGCCTGCCCAGAGTAAGCAGTTCCTTGCCGCGGATGTCGTTCTTCAAGAAGCTGTCCACGTACTCCGACAGCTGCATCGTCTCCAGCCAGGTGACCACCTCGTTGACGCTCCAGTTGTTGGCCGCCTCGCGGGTGTTGGTCAAAGGTGGCTTAAATACCTGCTGACCGGCGGTCGAACCGGAACGCAATCTCACCCAGAAAGGTCGAGACTTTCGGCGGCCATCGGACTGCGGAAGACCAAAACCATTAGGAAATTAGTAATTGATTAAAAAAATCAACAAAATTAATCAGTCGCAAATCTTTTTTAATATCAGTTACAAACCGTCCGCACCCTTTTGGTAAAAGTTTTTGTATTGTATTTCTATTAATAACACAAAAACATTTTGTCAACGTCCACTCTAACGGCCACAAAACGCAAACAATTTTAAAAAAAGATTCTTTCCCATTATTATTTCTATCTGTGTACAGTCAACGAAATTTTAAATTAACTTCAGTAACTTGAGTAACACGTATCTGACAGTCGAGAAAACCGACTCCTTCTCCTGGCTTGAAACTTCGAAATATTCTCCCACTCACCTCCTCGTTGGGCGCCAGGACATTAAAGTAGGCCCGTAGCTTGCCGTCAATGCACTTCTGCACGGAGCACTTTTTCAGCTCCATTTCCATGTTGGCCAATGCCGCGCTGAGCTTCGTTTCCAAATCCTCGCGGAGAATCAAGCTATGACCTCGGTCGCGCAGCAGGGTGCATGCATCGTCGTAAAGCTGTCGCGATGAGTCGATGACCTCCACCAGCTTGGTGCGCAGCGAAGGACCTTCGAGTAGTTTGCCCTGCGGATGTATCGATTCCAGGGCTTCACTGGCCCGGCAGGCCACCTCGTATAGGTCGTGCTGCAGTGCCGGATGTGAGATAATCAGGAACTTGACCCACTTCACCAACGAGCTAACGGCTTCGATGAAGTTGAGGAGGACGTAGCATTCCCGCTCGGAGATTACCTCGTCCGTGGAGTTGGCATGCTCTGAAGCTGTAGAAGACGCATCCCTCTGGATGGAGATGCTGTGCTGGCGCTGCTTCTCATGCCAGCTTTTCAGCGAGAGCTCCAAGCTTCTGTTCCTGCACAGCATCTGCACTCGGTTCTTATGCAGAATGCGAATCATTCCAGGTGGCTGAAGCCATGCTTCTCCGTCCACCTGGATGGGTATCTCCTCGTCTCCCAGGATGTTGATCTGCACGCTTTGGCACTGGGCGATCCGATGGTGTTGTAGATTAATCAGCCGCGAGGCAGCCATCTGCACCGATCCGAAGACAGCCACCACTTCCAGGACCCGATCATCAAAGCTCGGCGGCAGGAATATGTCATCCTTTTTGCTACTGCCCCAGAAATTGGTGCCGCCCATGAAGCTAGGTATGTTCAGGATCACAATGCCCTGCAGTTCCGGCAGTGGAATTCTCTGACCATCGCACTCTAGTTGCACTCGCTGCTCCAGGTTCTTGCAGGTCTTCTGCAGGAGCTGCTTGGATCCCAGAACCCCATACCACATGTAGTTCCGTGCTCGGGATCGGCACTTTTCGGGGTGCTCCTCACGCTTGTTGTGGAAGTCCAGCGAGATCTTAGCATCAATGCCGATGCCGAAGTAGTTGTTCATCACGCACTTCTCATGGTAACCGGCTAGCAGCGTCTCATCCGGGTCCATTAGGGGACTAACGGCGGCGCAGAGGGTATCCGCATTGGCCAAAAGACATTTGGATATGAAGCCACCGCCATTGGCAAGATCTGTGGAATTAATGAAATGATTAAATATGAAGGTATCGTGAAAGCCTATCATGGTACGTACTTGGCCAGTTGGGCAGTCGCACTAGAGGATTGATGATGGGTAGCTTGCGGTTGGCCTCCTCGGTGGGCGTCTTATCCTTGTCTTTGCCGCCCCTTTCCTCCTTGTCCCTTTCCGCGGAAGCCAAATGATCGAAGCCGAATAAAGTTGACCCCATAAACAAGCTCGACTTGGACCCCTTTAGGGTCTGGAGATTTGGAAGTGCTTCGTTCGGCTGCAAGAGAGAGGCTTCGATCAGTCGCGAAAACCCAAAGTCCGGAAAAGTCAAGTAAGTGTCAAAGAGCAACCGGAAAGTCAGCACTAACTACGATACAAAGAAACATGTGGATGTGATTGAGTGTGAGTTGTGTGGGTGAGTGTGCC